CCAAAACTGTCCTTACCACAACCCTGAAGAAACAGATATTAATACTGGTGTAAAAATAATTAAGAATGGAAATTCAGTTAATTTAATGTTTGGTTGTGTAGTGATTTTAAAAAGGGGGAGCATGGTTCTGATTTAAAATGCTTTCCTGATTAGGGAGTGTGTGCTACGTGAAGAGTGGACTTTCCCAGTAACCTAATATTCAACATATGGGATTGTACAGTTGTGCGTGAACACCATGGGCGTCTTGACAGGAGATACTGGTTTGCTGAATTAACTGTTCTCTATGGCTAACAGGCGTATGCAGTGAGCATTTGAAAAAGGAATTATTACAGAAATACCTCAACAAACAGACATCCCAGAGAAGCCAGCTCCTTCCTAAAGAACTTGGCCACATATCGAAGAGAAAAGACTCACAGAAGACATGGAGTATGCTGGCTGGCAGCACCGGGGAAGTGGAGTAGGAGCTGGAACTCTTTCCTGGCCACCACGGAGTATACTCTCAAGGTCAATGGTCCCAGAAGGCTTTCTGGTCTGGACTTCAGTGTTCAATGTCATCTCTGTACCAAGTCATATCATTCTTTAGAAAATAAAAGGCAGGTATGGAAAATCTTTGCAATTTCTGCACTGAAAGTAACCTCTCTGGACAAATACCATCTTGGTGGTATTTAGCTACAGCTAAGCAAATTTTAGTAAGAACATAAGAAGATTTAAAAGTGTATCAGCTTAGGTCCTAAAATGGCCAAAGGAATTTTTCCAACGATCACTGAAAGCATGGGAGGATAATGCAATGGATTTAGAATCTTAGTGTGTATACGCATCATTCAGGAGTACTTGTTTAAAGTGCAAAAACTCATCCAAGTGAACTGAACTCCCCAGAGGTGTACCGAGCCTCGGATGGCTCTTCTGGAAACCACAGTGCTGCAGACACATTACTGACACAGGAGAGAGGTTCTAGTCTGGCTTACCGAGTTAACTAGTTGTGAAACGAGGCAAGTCACTTAACCACCCAGAAACCATCTGTTTCTCCTATAAAGCAGAGGTATGAGACTTCAGATGATACTTAAATTCTAAAGGTCTCAGAGGTAAACAAGCTCCATGTCTCCCAACTTGAATGACTGTCTGATGGTATTTCTGAGGCCTTCACGGCAATGTTCAAGAAGCAGAAACTGAGGGTTGATTGTTTTAGGAACCACCATATGCCACTGATTATTTAATGAGTAAAAAGGATATTCGAATCTGAAGTTATGAAACTGATTAATAATAATAATGCTAAGCCATAGTTAATCATGTGCCAGGCTCTAAGTACTTGTTACATATTAACTCATTGAGGGAAAAAAAGATGAAAACAAAAGGTAATCTGAAAACCTTGAAACTAGCAACGTATGTAAGAAGGGATAATGTTGAAAATTAAACTGTGACTAGTATTAAGGCTTTGGCAACACTTAATAACAAACCACAACTATAAAATGCTGACAAAGTGGACTAATGAGAATGGACCATATTGTGTGTGAAACTTGGCCTCTTGAACTGTGAACAGTTTTCGACCCAGTGAAGAAATATCTATGAGGATCGTGTATCAAGTGTCGAGAAACCTGCAGCATTTAACACATGCATGTGTCTTCTCCGAGAATACGAGCACTGCTCTCGATACTGCCAATTCCTTTATGAATCATGATTTTAAGCATTACTGACCTACCTCTAAAGGAACGGCCCATTCATAGCACAATGGGTTAAACAGGTTAAAAAATGAAGAACTACTCCTTGGTTTTTATGACATATCAGATTACTGGACTAAAGACCATAACCCAACTGTACCTTTTTCTTTAAATACTTAGTGGTGCCACACTCGACAGAGGTCACCATGCACTGACAATTATATGCTTAGAGAAGGTTACAAGACAGGAAGACTTCTAAAAGGATTTAAAACGGATTCTCCATTTACATTTACTAGAAAATTGCCATAAATGCACCACTGTTCCAGGTTTTCAAGACAGTAGCAAAGCATAAGATACACAAATTTTCCCATTTTCCATTTGGAAGGGGATGATTCAGTGAAACGATGATTCAATGAAGCTATGACTGGCTTATTCCCAAGGCCAACATACAGACTGGGCATGCGTCTGAAAGACTGGATTAAATAATACTAAACAAATGCCATTCCACCCTCAACTACAGTCACAAGCTCTTTTCAGATTGCAAACCCAGACTCCAGAAGATTAAGGCTCAAAGATGACCAGAGTAAGGAAGTTGAGCCCTGGAGACACGGTCCGGAGACACACAGAACTGGCTCTCTCCCTTCTAACATGCAGTTTAATACCCAGAGCTTTCACCACAAGCCAATTCTCCCTCTTTTCATCTGTTGATGCACAAGGACCTTCTGAGGCCAGGGGACCACTGCTCATCTCTGTACAGCCCGTGAAAATACCCTAAGAGTAGATTTTACATTTTTAAATGACTGAAAAAAATTCAGAAGAGTATTTCATGATATGAAATGATTTTGTTATATGAAATTCAAATTTATATGAATAGTTTTATTGGAACAGTCACTCTTGTTTACAAGCAGCCCATGGCCCGCTTTCACACTGTACAGCAAAGCTGATTGGTTGTGACAGAGATCGAATATCTCACAAACCCCCAAATATTTACTCTCTGTCATTTACCAAAAAAAGCTCACGAACTTCTCAATGAACATAGTATGCGAAGAGTTAAATGGGAAAAAAGAGAAAGTGGGACATGGGCAGGATTAAAGTATGTTCATGCTTCATCCTTCCAATTCGCAGCAAATGAGGCAACTCTGGCAGATTTTACATCACTTTAAGAATGCTGTGAACACAGAAACCTCCACTGTTCAGACCTGAAAATCTTCAAGAACTAAAAATCCCATTAACATACGCTTTCTCTAATGATGCTAAATGAAGGCAGATACAAAGCACAGATACCCCCCAGCAACAGACAAATCACATGGTTCTCATGTACTGACGCTCCTTAGACCACACCCACAGTCAGAGAGCCTGGGTAAGAGTCAGGGAGGAAGGCACTCTGTTCCGTAAGCCCTAGGCTAGAATCAAAACTACAAGTTCCCACTCTAGCAGGATCAGACCCTGAGCTAGTCACGTGATTCTCCAAGGGTTTAATTCTTGTATCTGTAAAATGAGGCATGATGACCAGCCCAAGGAATATTCTTTCTTTCAACTCCTAAAACTGGAACAAAAACAAGAACAGGAAAGAGACGAGGAGAGAAGGAACTTTTTTTTTTTTAAGTATTTGTTTTCTTCTTTATATTAGTCAAAATACAATTCGGACAGAGCTATCCTCATGGGAAAGCAAAGCGTCCACAGCCAAGCATCAGGCTGTGCTGAAGGACACCACTCAGCAGGATGTTAAGACGGAGGACCGACAAACAGAGGCATCTGAATTCAAGGATGTGAGCTTGTTCCTTCCCCTTTTTAGGGGTTTCTGGAAACAAAGACACATGTACCCATACAGGGTGTGTTCCCTTTTCTCTCCCCAGGGGCAAAAGCAACATTTGTCTGAATAAGGCCTGCTGTACAAGCAGCCACCCAGGCATTAGTCATGAATATTATCTGTAAAAGGGGTGGGTTAGAACAGTCAGCACCTCCCTGCCACTGCACTCCAATAAAAGGAAGCTTGTTTATCACAGTCCATACACGTGAAACAGTTTGGGACGGTACAGTTCTGTTTACCTACTGGGGTAACTTTGAGAGAAAAATGCCTCTTAACCCACTGAACAGCAAAAACAGTACACTCCCAAGTCTAGACAAGGAAGGCCAATTCTCTGAGGGGCATTACGATTCAGTCCAGTAACCTGATTATTCAGCTTCTTTCTAAAAGGTTTTTTTTTTAAAACAAGCATGGAATCTAAAGCTTAGAGCACTGTTTCTCTCAACAAGTTTAAGTTCTCTTCTTTTACAAGTTAATAGCTTTAAACAAGAAAATAATTTCAAATCCCTGAAGAAAACCATTTTTGAAAACTTACTGAATATTAAATACAGAATTACCATGTGATGCAGCACATCCACCTCAAAGTATATGAAAACATAACGTCCACACAAACTTACACATAAATAATTTGTTCACAGCAATTATTATTCACAAGAGCCAAAAAGTAGAAACAATCCCAAAGTACAACAAAATGTGGGATACCCACGCAATGGAATTTTACTTGGCAATAAAAAGAAATGAAATACTGATTCATGTTACAACATGGCTGTTACCTTGAAACAGTACACTAAGTGAAAGAAACCAGTTACAAAAGGCCTCATTGTATAATCCCACATATGTGAAGTTCCAGAATGAGCAAATCCATAGAGACAGAAAGGAGATCAGTGCCTATCAGCTGAGGCAGGTGGGGGTGGACGGCTGTTAATGAAAATGGGGGTTTCTTTTTGGCGTGATGTTTTAGACAGTGGTGATGGGTGTACCACTCCATAAATACATTGTAAAAAACTAAACTGTGCACTTTATTTGAATGAGTGGATTTTATGGTTATGTGAATTATGTCTCAATAGAGCTGTTAGGAAAACCTACTGAACCTTTTTTTCAATCACTAAAAATGATACACTTCATACTTTAGTCAGTATTGAGCTTTAAGTTAAAATCTCATTTTCATTATCGGTTTCTATATAAAAGAAAGAGTCAGGTTTAAGGAGGATTAGTAGATCCCTTTCTGTGGTAATTCCCATTTTGTGACATGTTAAATCTCATGACAAACTGACAAGTCTTGTGCTCAGAGGGAAAATTTTTTTCATTACAATCTCCAAGGGATTCATGCAAGAGGGTATGTTCCAAAACTCTGCTATGTAAAAGCTTCACTGCAACCACACGTCCACATGTGTACGTGAGGGAACGAGAGAGAGGGGGGAAAACTCAACTGTGAATAAAAAAAATCCCCACAACTAAAACAACAAGGCCATGAACCACACGCAGCAAAGCCGGCTAAACACACAGTGTGCTCACACAGAAAACTTGATGCCACTTACCACCTGGGTCTTCGGGCCTGGTGTCACCTCAGGTGTAGACGTTACGTCCCCTGCACCCACCTCTTCAGAGACTGAGCTCTCCCTGGCGTCACTCAGAGAATCCACTTCATCTCCAGCTTTCGTGCCTGGCATTTCTGAAGAGAACAAGGCAGTTACAAAGTGCATTTGATTCCTGGGCCTTACTATGTACACAACATGCTCCAGGTTTCACGTGTTTGCTTTTGCTTTTGTGTTGAACAGAAAGTATTCATTTCTGCCCCTGAGCTGAGCTATCCCTGGCCTCTATATGGATTTGCATCTAAGAAAAGATTTAGTTCAATGTCCACTGAACTTCCATTTTCACTGATTTTTCATGACAATTCGATGAGTGTGGTGCTGACTTGCGTATGGAAAAGTAAACTCGCAAGCTTTAAGGGAACAGATTAACAGCTTACGCTGGTTGTCCATCCTGACCATTACCAAAGAGGCAAGAGACATTTGCACACTGTTTGTACAGGACAAAAAGGAAAGAGCCGCTGAGAATGAGATAAAGCCTTTGGGAAGAGTTAAACGTTCTTTAAAAACACACTACACACAATCATCTACCCATCACTGCAAATGGTAAGACTGAACTATTCTAGCAAATTATTCTTTCTTTTAACGTTTATGTCTTGTTCAGGAAGAAATAATCACAAACTAGCAATTCCTTTTCATAAGAAAAAGTTTTTTTTCATGTTTTCTTTAGAATTATGCTCAACAGACCAAACAGTAGTGATTTTTGACCTGACTACTGTATGGTCAAGCACATACATGAAGGAAGTGGTAAAATGATGTCTGAGGCAAAGTTAGGCTCTGACACTTCTTTAAGGGGGACTGATGGTTGAAGAGTCAAAATTAACCTTGATAATCCAGAGACAAATGAAACTATCACCTCAATTTCATTTGGAAAATTTTCTGTTCTTGTTATTAATCTAGTCATGCCACTACTCCAGCAGAGAAAAATGTTCCCTACACCAAAGGGCAGAGTGATTTCTTTCACTAAAGAATAAATTACATTAAGATTGTATTCTCGTAGCATATTATGAGATGCATAAAGATCTACTTTAGATTTAGGAAAGTTACATTCCTATAAATGAACATTTCTAAGTCTCCCTTCTGTGCCCTCACTTCTAATTGTATCATCTTACTAGCAATTTAAAAAATGGGCAAACATGTTTCCTTGCCCAAAGAACCAAAATCTGTCTTACATTGCATAAAATGTCATTTAAGTTTAAAAAAAATCTGATTAAGCAACCCCCTTAGAAGTATTCCTTGATTAAAACATTTCTAAGTGAGTAAGATAGCTTTTTGGGGGGGATGGGGGGAGGGTCGTTGATGATTTTTGTTTTATTTATTTGGGGATGTGACTTTCGGCACATCCTTACTATCCTATACCCATCACCTGAAAATACCTATCTTGGCAAACAGCGACCAGTCACAACAGTAAACAGATTACTGAGACCTGCGGGGTGTCGGCAGCCTCTGTGGGACTGGCCTGCCTCCGTCACGCACAACTTCCCACAGCACTGGGATCAACGCTCTTGACGGGTGAAGGGCACCTCATTCTAACTGGAAGTTTTGTGTTTTCCTCATCTCAATTTCTATTTGGCTTTGCCGACAACAGAATATGAAAACAGAAGCCAATGCCATGTGGCTCCTGCCAAACCAGTAGTTAAACTGGTGTTTCCTCACTTATGAAACAGTAGGGTTAAATTCACAAATGGAATGTCAACTTCCTAGAAAATACCCTTTGGTCTGAGATCACACTCAGGTGCTTTTTCCCTGGGGCAGTGTGACCAGGGGCTTTCCCCAATCCTGGCTATTTTCTGAAGAAAGTACCAATTTCTTCATCACTGGCTACTTCTCTCTGAGGAGCACACACGACTCCTCTTGGTAGCAGAACAAGTAATGCGCCCACACATACCGACCAACCCCAACCCAAACCCACAGATACTGCTGAAACTTCATTTTCTTCTCATTTTCCTTCCTAACTTTAAAATCTGAAATATAATGTCTCATCATCTTTACTTCATTTGTGTCCTATTACAGGTCAAACTCTGAAACTCTTCCTGGTTTCTACCTTTTCTCATAATGTACTATAGACACAAACCTTAGTTCGTACTTGCTTGGGTTAAATTCTGACCACTGAGCCAGAAAGAGAAATAATTTCAGCTCATGTGGCCAAAGATGCAGCACCCAAACGGAAAGAACACAGCCAGGAGTCAGCTTACAGCCACGCCCGTTCTTCTGAAACATCAACCTGCCAGGGCCCCCAAAATAGACTTGTTGTTGTGCTTTATTTTAAAAATTGGAGGCCTTCTCCTTTAAACTTCTGAGTAGCAGTCGACAAATTTCTCTCATTAACAATACAGAACACTAATATAACAAAAAGCCTGAAGTCATCAAAAATACTACCTCAGGTTTCTTAAGTCCCTCAACTGGAAAAATAGATTATAAATGGCTAAAAAACCCTTTATCAGGGAAAATGACCACTGTTTAAACTGCTCTTTTCCCAAAGCAACTTCTTTTCTTATTCTATTTGTTCTTTTTTCTCCACACCCCACCCCTACAGTCTTAACACATAATACAGTAAAGGGGTTTTCAAAAATTAGGAAGAATAGCAGAAACAATCAAACAATGAAAACAAAACAGGCTTCTTACCTACAAGAGCCTGGGGACAAGCATGGAGACGGGTCCTCTGTCTATACCTGGTAACAGGTGGTGGTTTCCAGGTGGGAATCAAACTGAACCCTGAATGGCTTTCGGAGTCAAAACCTTGAGTCCGACCCCAGTTTGAACTTTAGCCTCAACCCCCCCAGTAAGAAATTTTATTCAGGTCGTTCATTTCCACCGAGCAACAGTGGTTTCTCTTTGCTCTCTCTGGACATGGTTACCCACAGACAGAACCGGCTGCTGTGTGAGCAATCTGCTCAGTGCAGCTGCTTCACCCAGATAAGCAGACACAACGTCTGCCGGGTGACAGCAGCTCAGCAGACGAGGCTTGGGCGGAAATCCTGCATCCTATCCCCTGCGCTGTGCAGGGTCCTGAGTTCCCAGACTGCTGCCCAAGAGCAACAGGCAGTGGAGGTCTGCGGCTCAGGCAGGAAAAGGGGGGAGTTCCCTTCCCCCTAACTTCCACCAGTGACCTAATACCACCATTGGGGACGCTGGGCCATCGGCTTGGAACGACACTTACAGCTGTTCATGAAACCACTCTGACTCTAAGTTTGCTCAGGACACAGACTAGGATGGTAGGAGAGGAAAAGAAGTTTCAGGCTTGTAAATAAAACACACTTTTTCAGCCCTATTATGGTTCTTGAGAGAAAGGACTAAAGCCATGTGAATAAAAACATCTGCTAAATTCCTTTATCATTTTAGAGCACCTGGATCTCAGCACTGTTTTCCAGGTTAGGAAAGTTGCCACTGCTCCAGTGTGACAGACAGAGCATTTATAAGCTTTAAGCAATCAAGCCTGGAGTCTGGCACACAGGAAGCAAAATCTGCCCAAGCCTGAGACGATGAGCCTTTTCGGATGGTGTTGACTAGTAACTTGGCAACCTACCCAATGAACACAGGGCCACCAAACAACAACACCTATACTTTTACCAGCATATCAGAGACTCTGAAGGGGATCTGTTTCTCCAACTACTGGTTTTGAATTCTGCTTTGCTTACCTGTTGCCGGTGGAGGTCCCTGGACAGGCACAATACTCTTCTCTGGCTCCTCCCTTCCAGCAAAGCATCCTGCAAGGCTCCCAGAGGCTTCTCCACGAATAGTGCCCATGTGTGGGGTCCCCACAGGCAGGAAAGCACTCGCCTTCCCCGCAGCAGCACCTTCTAGCTGTTCAGTCACTGGGCCCGACTCGGAAGGACTGGGCAGTGACATGTGACTGATTTTCCCCTCCGTCATCAGCGCTCCCGAGGCCTTGACTCGTGCTATGACAGCATCCACTATGCGACTCGCAGCTGCCTCGATCGAGTCTGCTCTCTCAGGCAGATGCGCAGCTTTGGCAGAGAGAGTGCAGGGCAGGGGGGCAGCGCCCTTCTCCCTGCCTGGGACCTCGTCACCATGGCCCGAGAGCTGGAGTTCTGTGGGGAGGTCTGCCACACTGGGCTGCAGCGGGACAGGGTGTGCCTCCTCTCTCATCTGTGCCCCCTTGGAGTCACCCACACTGCAGTTGCTGTCCACTCCAGCCAGCTTCCCCTCCTGCTGACCAAGAGACGCCACCTCTGGGGTTGCGGCGCCCTGGAGGTCAGTCACAGCTTTATCTGGTAAAGCTCCCAGGATCATACTCTTCTCCTGGCCCAGCGACACCTGTGGAATCGGGACGTCATGGGTGTTGTGTGATGTATCCTCTCTTCTGGCTCCAACCGTGCCCTGGACCACGGCACCATCCAATACCACATTTCCACTCACCTCACAAGCAGGGGTCTTGCCCTGGGGCTGAGTGTTTTCCACTCCAACATCCAGAGCAGAAGGTTGACTGCAGTTAAGAGCCTCAGACCCATCTGGTAACAGTGGTGAGCTGCTCTGCTCTGCACCCAAGGCTTCCTGGCTTGCATCTGCAGCTGGACTTGCTCCTGGTGGCACCAGGCTCTGTGCAGCCCCACCTTCAGTCAGCAGTGAGACTGGTGGGGCCACTTCCTTGTTATGTTTAGTTTCTGCGTTAAGACAGGCCAAGGGTGTGCCCAGTGAATTACCGTGCCGAAGCACTCTGTCCTCAGCACAGACAGCTGAGCTAGGTTCTTCACCAAATCCTGGGGGCTCTTGTCCAGGAGGTGGTGTTCTCTGCTCTTCCTGCAACGTTCCTGAACAAAGAGTGTCTTCCCTGATGGAGGAACAGCTCACTGCTTTATCCTTGTCATCTGGGCCCTGAGCTGCAGGGCTTTCTGGAACCACCTGGTTTTCTTCTTCAATCAAAACAGAATCAGACGCCAAAGTGGCCTCACCCACATGTAGCAGGGAAGAGTCAGTGCCCCCTTCAATTTCCAGGACTTCAGGGGAAGCTGGGAGGCAGGGACTCTCATGCTCCCCACCAAGTCCTCCGGGGCTGGTGTTTCCCATGTCGGGCTGAAGATCTAGAGCAGAGGAGGGTACGCACAGGTCTGCTGCACCGTCTTCTCGTGGCTGCTTCTCTGGATCATTCGAATGTCTGTCTGGGCCATCTCTACAATCTGTGTGTGGTTCAAGAGTTGCTGTTCCCTTTTCATTCTGGGAGGGGACAAGAGAAAGTGCGTCATCTTTGGTTACTGATTCACTGCCGGGACTGCTTGCCAGAGAGAAAGTCCTGCCTGATGTTACTGCCTGGTCTGATACCCATTCTCTCTCAGCTCCGGGGACAACTGCATGCGGATGTGGAAGCCCCTCAAACATGTCTATTAGAGATGATTCTAGTTTCACATCTTTTCCTTGGCTTTCTGTATCTGCAACTTTGAGAGGACAAAAAGCCACATGTTCCTGGGTCTCTCTAGTTGGGTCAAGGGGGGCTGTGTCAGTCTGTGGGCCTTCCGGGCAGATGACAGTGGGCGGGTGTTGTGTGGTGAGTAGTCCTGTGGTGCTACTTTCAGGCTGGGTCACTATGTCATCACTGGGTTTTGCAGCCAACACTCCACTAGAAGTCATCGTGTTCTGCTGACAGGCAGAGGCAGCACAAAGTTGATCATCTCCAGTTGTCGAACAGATGGGTGGTTTGCTGTTTTGGCTTTGAACATGAGATGAATCCGTTTCTGATGTCTGATTTGGCATAACATCTGTCTGTGGCCTGGGAAAGGTTAGATCAGAGGGTGACACCGCCACACACACACTCGCTAAGGGAGTGTGAGGTTCTAACCCTTCTGAATTCCTGTCTTCTGCAGCAGTTGGAACTACCTGAGAGTTCTGGGCTCTGGGAGCATCAGCACTCTCTTCACTACATCTACGAGTTTCCGTTTCTGCAGTTTTTTCAGTGGGGGCTTCTCCGTGACTGACTGCAAGTAAAGACTCTGCAGGCTTGTCAGTATCCAGGGAGCCAGTGGCAGAGGCGTCGTCTGGAACACTGGCTTTATCCACAGGCTCGTCTGTGACTTTTATGTCAGAGGCTCCAGCTGTGCAGACACTGGAATCCTCAAATCTCTCCTTGGTACTCTCCCCTACTTCAAGCTTGTTCCTCTGGATGGTGGAGTCTTGGTTCATGAGACCACCCTCCGTTTCCCCTACAACCTCCGAGACACTGGCACCTATTGTGGAACTGACCACCAGTCCGCCTTCAGCGGGAGGCTGGGTGGTGCCGGGCTCCGTGACCACACCTCCCTGCAGGACACTGCCTCCACTGCCCGGAGACTCCTGGTCTGTGGCCGCGGCAGAAGATTTTGTTCCAGTTTCTTCACTTGTGATTCCACAGGATGGAAGGCCTTCTGTGCCCTTTCCTCTGCAATCAGGTGTGCTCTGAGGGCAGCTGTCAGGATGAGACAGAGCCTCAGAGTCCGCAGTAGGTGCTGGCTCCACCTCTTCGTCCTTCTCCAGGTCTGTATTTTCCTTCCCACAGAAACAGTCTGTATTCTCTTCCTTAACCACACTTGACATGTCATAGGAACTTTCAGCCTGCCCCACAGTGCTCCCATGGCAGCACTGAGAGCTCTCAGCATCTTCAGGAGGAGAAGCAAACTGCTGGCTGACTGTGGGCTCTGATGCACAGGGAGGAAACCGACCATCTGCATCATGGAGGCTGGGCAGACTGGAAGCTTCCCGTGCTGCCAACACTGAGGGCATAAGATTGTCCATCTGCTTGAGGTTTGTTTTCTAGGAGAAAATGGAAGATATTTTTAAAAAATTGTCCATGGGAAAAGATGTCACTGACACTTTATTACAAGCAAAAATCCTGCTGGAGAACACTCACTAGCATTCTAGGTCACATGATAAACAAACCTAAATAAACACAAGTAAGTTCTCTCTTGCTCCTGATAATCAATTTCCTTTTATAGCTACAAAACCACTGGGATAATAAAGTGGCAAGAATATACAATATAACTGTTTTCTATATTATAAACTTATGTTTACAAAAGTAGATTAAAATTGAGCCTCAAAAACCTTATTTTAAAAAAGCACAGTGGATATATTCAAATGAGCAGCTCAGAAATATTTTTAAAGGTCTTCAGAGGGGCAGAGGCTGCTTTCATGCTGCCTCGTACATACAAGGAAAAACAAATCCTGACCAGCCTTGTAAACTCTTTTCAATAGCAAGGCACAGACAGATGCTCCTGCGCCCTAAATTTTCAGCGAGGAGTTACACAGCACCCTTTAATTCCCAAAATATGCTCCATTCAATCCAGCTTAACAATTTTAGTTATGGGGTTATATTTCAAAAAGATTGGAATGGTCAGTATTCTTTAACTTTTTGATAAAAGTCGTCCCTTTGTTCCTTTAATGCTGAATATTAAATAAGACTCTATCAAGCTAATTATAATACCTAATTCTTGATTATTCCCAGATGGTACTGTGGTTTGAGAGTGTTATATGTCATCTCAAAACAGTTTTTACAACTTTGAAAACAGATATAACCAATTATATGAGAATGGTTAAAATAATCATGGTTGAGCAATTCGATGGAAAATGCTATGCTGTCATATAAATGTTAACTATGAAAAGCAGTGAAATCAGAAAAAGGTATTTATAATATAATGTTTAAGAAAATAAATAAAATGTAGAATCTAAGGTTAGAATTATGCAGAAATCAGAAGTACATGCAGATAAGGCTTAGGAAAAAATGCTGAAGAACAAATGCAGCTGATCTTTAAAGAGTATTTATATCAAAATTTCAGGAATCCATCTAATGATACTATTTGTTCAACACATAAAAACTTTTTAAAATGTCTGGTTTGCTCTTCACTCGTTAGCTGACCTACTACAACAATCTCATGCACATCTACTGAGCAGGGTCATCTGGTTCAGTTACTCACTCGGTTCTGACGTTGAACACTTACACTACCCCACCATCAGTCTCTCCTGCCCCTTTACTGGATCTACTGAAAAAGCTCACACATGTAAGTGTAAACTGTGTTACGCTCATGAAAGTCCTTCTAATAAGACAGTGTAAGAAAAGCGGATTCTCACTAAAAAGTTTCTGTCCTGTGCTCCTTAAGAGTATTCAAAACTGCTTGCTTCCCTTCCTACAGAGAGTGCAACGGTCTCCTAAAAATTAGAGATGAAATCAGGTCATTAAGCTGAATAAAGGGTAAACATTACAGGACAGAGAGATTTGGAGGAAAAAAGCAGTACTGCTTGAGAATTTGTAGAAGCTCCTAACACATGCATCCTCTCACAGTTTTAACTTCTCATGGTTTCCTGTAAACTATACCTATACCTTGCAGGTAGCTTTGGCACCTGCAAACTGCTATTTCAAACGGACTATCATTCACCGAGAAAGAAGAGCTCTAAAGGAAAATCTGACTTCCTGACAGTCCATCCAGAGGAAAATAAAATGACACCTGTTCTGGAACAAACACAGTTTGGAGGAGCAGAAGCAGGCGCACCATTCAACCCTTCTACAAAGTGTCTCGACCTGCTGGCCTCAGAAACAAGACCTGCTCCTAGAGAAGCCTCTGGCACTGAGCTGACGATCCTAGATGACCTTAAATGAAATTACTGCCAAGCTTTTTCCAAATCAAATCAACTATGAAATAAAATGGGAGGAAAAATTATTTAAACTTAGCCTTTCAGATGTTATGGCCAAGAGAGATGTACCCATATGACATTTAGATTACCCGTAATAAATGCTACCAGGGAGTCTGTAATGTTTTTATGTCTGGCAACAGCTTTATCTTGAAGGCTTGAGTGGATTATAAAAATCTTAATTTTTTTAGTGATCTTTTAAAGCACATAACTATTGATTCAAATATAGTAAACATGCTCATCATCAATAGTGGTGAAAAGCCTCTATTTCTGAGTAAATCTGGTTCTTGTTCTTTAGCAACAATCTCAGAAACTGTTTAGCTCATTTCATTTTATAAACTTAAACCAACAAATTTATAGTTAAACAAGTTTCCTTTTACGCCAGGGAAGTTTAGTTCTAGTTGTTGCATATTTCTGTATCTGCAATGTGTATCAGTACATTTCATTATTTTAAAAGCCCGGCAAACACCACTAAAACATTCTCTCAGCCTCCTGCTACTGCCACCCCAAAGCCAGCTCTGCATCTGCACGTGGTAACACCTACGCAGGTAAAACTGCTCTGCAGGCTTCACGGTCTTTAAGGGAAGCATTTTTATGTTCTAATTATAACAAGGTTCATTGTGGGAAGGGGTGAGGTCACCAAAGACTGAAAATGAAACTTTTCTTCTTTACCATTAGCTGCTGTTGGATGTTCATAAGTTTAAAAATATGTCCAGTGCAACTGTCTCCAGGAGGTCGGGGCTCCTGGTGTGAGTCGGACTCGGAGGTTAATGTATAGATGTCCAGCTCTCGGTGATGTCTCACAGAACAGTCTCCGTAAGGGATTTCATACGATAAACTGCTCCAGGAGTCTGGTTCTCCAGCATTCTCCCTGGAAGCAAGCAAACTCTGGTTAATATTATATTATCAGAATGTATAATATAATAATATGTTAATATATATATATTTTTTTTTCCGTCTCCCAGGCATAGATTTAACCCTCAAAGTCTTATGTAAAATTTTTCACCTCATTGCTCTTTGAGGCTCTGTAGGAAAAATCTGGTTTGTACGGTTCCCCAGTAATTCAGGCATATAACTAACTGTTCCATCCTCTTCACAAGGGGTCATAAATGAGTTAAATGAAAACTGTAGTATTTCTCCCTAAAGACAATCTTTTGATCAAGAGAAGAGAAGACTAGGATCTTAAAATAGTTAATATTATGCTGACAACCATATAATGAGGAAATGTAAGTAGAATGGTTTTAGCCTCGCTTTCCAAAAAAACAAGGCTTATTAAGCGTTTCCCTTAAAATGGGTTACACCACATGCTAATTGCAGTCAATTATACTGGGAAGGACAGAACTAATCACTCCAATCCCTGCAACGGCACGCCAATGTTTATTACAAATAGGTGGAGAAAACATTCTCAAAATTCTCAAGGTCAATTATATGAAGAAAAGCAACTACAATGTCATATCGCACTATGCTTGTCAATATAGTTATCAAATCCTCTTTTGAATGAAGTACTTTTAAGTACTTAAGTAAGTTATAACTTTTTTAATTTAAAAAACAACTCTGCTCAACACATCATTATGGATATACCTCATAGTTAAACAAAGCACATATATATAAAAAAGTATTTCTGGGATAGGGCTCAAAACACGAAATCTCAGTGGCAGAGGGTGTGCTTAGCATGCACGAGGTTCAGTCCCCGGTACCTTCGTTAAACAAACAAACCTAATCTCCCCCCAAAACAAAACCAGGAAATCTTTTACGTGGTTCTCTCTAATGAACCCAGTACGTTGGTAAAGTATCCTACAGATTTTGGAAGAAGGCGGAAGGTTGTGTTTGAGATCATTATCATTTTTAAAATGGAAGAAACTAAAGCATTAAGACATAACAGACTTGCCATCCACTGACAAAATAAGAGGGAAACATTACTTCAACTCTCTCTCAGTGCTTTGTCTACTAAACCACACCTGTCTGTCTGTCTGTAACAATTCACCAGTGAATAACTGGAATCTGAAAGCTAAAAATATGTTGTAGTGGAAAACCGGTAACAAACTGGAGAGCCACGCACTGACCGAGGGTAACAAGGGGGCTGCAAGAGGAAACTATTGTAATTTCCACACTCAAGGGTGACACCCCAGCAGCTGCTTAAAATGAACCTAGCATATGCTCTGTTAAATGTTTTACATATTTACGAAGCTGCTCTATGCTGAGTAAAGTGACCACAAACAGAAAAGTACCTGTAAGACAGTCACTTAAAAGTTCAACTGAATGACTCAATTAAGCAGCCAATCAGCTATACCAAACAAGGGGGCGGTGACTTGTCAGCTCTGGAGCTTGGGTTGACATTGCCATGAACTCTGCTTAACTAACTGTCTGACAGACATTACTGGCATAACTGCTTACTCAGATTACCATTATAACCATACTCCAATTTTTTTTTTAAAACAAAAGGCCTTTGAAAACAAAACTTGATTTATACACCATTCAGTGTGAACCAAATATAATAAGCTAAAAGGGGACTGTCTGCCAAGGCAGGGGCAATTAAAAAGTGCAAAGTCTATTTCCAACAAAACGGATTTTTTTTTTAACCAACCTCGCCACTATTAATTCTCAAACTGCTTCTTTTCTAATATCTAAACCTTGGGAAATTCCCTTCTGTGACCACAGTCTATTTACCATCCACCTCTCCCATTCTCTCCTTCCAGAGGAATGTGCTCTTGTTGCCGTAAGTGCTAACCCTGCAATCTTCCAACTCATCATCCCTGTGGATTTTCGTTGCTTCCTAGCCCGTTTAGAAACCAAAGACTAGTCAACGCCATTACTCCCCCACTGGCTTCCATGAGTACCTGCTGCCACCAACACTCTTCAAACCCACGTTGCCTGCGGGGCTGGGGAAAGCCCACCATTCAGCACGGACTTATGTGCCAGGGGCTATTCTAAGGTGCTGGTGATACAAACCAAATCCGTGTCCTGCTGGAGCTTACATACTTACTGAGGGACACAAGAGCAATCAAGATAAAGAAAGCGCCTAATATTCTGGAAGACAGCAAGTGTGATGGAGAAAAATAAAGCAGAGATGAGGGTTGCAACTTTAAATGTGGTGGGTCAGGGAAGACCTCAGTTTGGTGTCATTTAAGCCAATACACTTCCTGCTCTGTATAAAATCCTTACAGGGCCCACTACTAAAATCTGGCAAAGTTCTATGAATAAGAATGTTTACTGCAACGTTAGATATGACTATTAAAAATTGAAAGTAATCTCAGTCAGTAACTAGAGAGCTATTAGAGAAATTAAAGAACAGATCTACAGATGATTACATAGCCATTAAATATAACTGGAGTAACAGTTCAGTAACACTGAAATCTGTAGTATTCAGTGAAATAAAGGTAAAAGTGCAAAAAATGTAAGTTTTAAATATAGACAGTGAAATGTACAAATAAAAATAACGTCACGGTGACTGGGTTATCAGTTTTCTTCTGCAGGATTTTAATTAATGTTTTTAATAATTTTAAAGCTCCTATCCAGCCAGGCCTCACTGCTGCTCTGTAATGTTTTTATGCATGTGTGCTAATCCATCCCCAGTGAGTTACCAAAATGTTCTGTAATGTCCTCAAAGGCCTAATGTTAACCTTGTCTACTTCATTCTCTCGCCTTAGTGAGACACTTGAGGCCATCTAACGTGAACTAAGTCCACCTTCATCCATCGCAGATGCCCCTCTAACTTCTGGATCCTTTCTCAGAGGTGGGTTTGCTCTGTTTCCTCCTGCCTCCTCAGGTAACCGACTCAGAAATCATCCCCCGGATGCCTGAGGTTTCCACCTGCTTCTGGACAAGCTTCTTCCCCACCCACCAACAAGCACGGTGAAGGCACCAACCGTGGGCAGGAGCGTGGCAGGAAGGGGGTCACTGTGCCACCAGCAGCAGCAGCGGTCTTCATTCAACCCTGCAGACCTGGAGTTCTCACTGAGGAATCTGGCCCCAGGGGGACATCTGACAATGTCTGGAGACATTTTTTGTTGTCACAACTTGGGGCAGGTGGGGGGTCCTACAATGCACAGGACAGCTCCCTACAACACAGAATTATCAGGCCCAAAATGTCAGTAGCATTGGTGTTGAGAAATCCTGCTATAAACCCACCAGAACACTTTGTCCGCTCTCCCCTTCCCTGTCTCCTTACCAGCCGTTGAAACAATCAGAGGCTCTGCCATTTGGCCCTTGCTCTCTCCTACTACTAAAACTTCTGTCACAGGTCTCCAGAGACAAAGTAAATCCCTAAAGCCAGTGGCTTTTCTTTGTCATCACTGCCCCTGAGTTTCACAGAATCTAAAAATGATGATCTGATTCTTCTTCTGAAATTTATTGCCACTTGACATCCATAAAGAACCATCTTATTCAGCCACTGTTTTCTCTGGCTGCCTCTTCTTCTCACACCTTAGATGCAAACATGTCAACCTCCTGAACTTGGTTCTCTTTCATTCATCCTTTCCCGCAGCCCCAGCTCACCTTCCTACTCTCTCTCTCTCTAGCCTCGAAGTCTCCCTGAGTTCCTGCTGCACTTCAACTACTCAATGAGTATCTTTGCCAGGATGTCTGGTGGGCTTCCTCAAATTTCAAAACTCAATTTTATATTTCCCCCATTCCCCAAAACAGCATCAACTCCAAATTTATTTCAGTGAATGAAACCACTGTTATCTCTAATAACACCGTTTCCCTTGTTCAGAACATTCTGTTGACACTGTGTTTACACTGCTTCTGCCACCCAGCACCTTTTTCAATTCCTATCTGCACAGCTCTAGTTCAGACCTTGACTGAATTATCTAGACTCTTGCAGCCACTCCTGTTACAGGCCAATTGCCCTAGGACCTCCAGATCTACCAAAAGTAATTATTCTAAACCAATAATATAAGAAAATATTTTAAAGCAAGCCATTGTCTTGCTCAACAGTTTTGTTCTGCAAAATAAAACTTTTTGTTGTTCTTCTTGCATTGGGAGTGGTGTGTGTACTGTGTATGCCCACACCACCTAGGCATTCTCTTCATCTTAAGCATGCCGTGAAGCATAGATCTACCGTACAGACACATAAAGCAGAGAGCCACAGAACTTCATAGACCAAGGCCACTCAGCTAACAACTGTCTCCTTACACACTACAACGGCCCTTCACAGAGGCCGCGCTGCACCACCAATGCTTCTGCCTGGCCAGCAACACCTCCACAGTAAAGCACCGACGTTCTTTTAGTAGATTTATCTTTATAGATCCTACTCTGCAGCCACACTGTAAATGCCCATTCCCCACACACACTTCATGAGCCAGGCATGCAGGCCTATCCAAACTCCACCCATCCCGCACAGTCTGGTGTCCTGATCTCTGTTTCTATTCTTCTCTCTATGGACACAGAACCTGTTCACCCACTGATCTTATTATATTACTCTTTTATGGCTTAAAAAACACTTTAATAATTCATTACATATTATAAATAATATGTTAAAAGCTATTTAATAATTTATGTCCTTGTCATTCCTTCTCACTAGAATACAAGCTCCTTAGGACTGAGATGGTGTCTCTCGGAGCTGCAATTCACAGAAGGTTCAAGATAGAAAGTACAGAACACAAAAATAAGAGTATATGAAGAACTTCTCTTTATCACTAACTTTTTTGGCAGAGTAACAAATGAAAACCTGGCCTAACATTCTGGGGTCATGTTATATAAAAAACTACACATCTCCAAACACCAGGATCATGAAGCACAGGCAGACACGCACAAGGCGGGAACGAGGGAGCGGAGACTGCCAAGGCATTACGAACTGACTTCCCAACACAGGAAATGCAGGCTCAGTTCACTACCTGCCCCCTTCCCCTAAAAACACACGCCCACAGCCTG